TTCCATAAATAAAAACAGATTCATATTTTTCACGAGAGTGCTCGTAAGTTCTAATTTCATCGTCCCGAAAAGTAAGACGTCTATTCGGCGTTGCTATTGTAACAGGAGTAGGTCGACGCAGGGGGTTCGACTTGGCGAGTTCTCCAATTGACGGGAAAAACTAACGAGTCAGCCGGGCTTTTAGAAGTGTGGCGAATACGAATGTCTTCTACGATAATGAAGTAATGAACGTTCTGGGACTAAGATTTGATACGCTCGGGCAACCTGCGCCCAAGTTTCCAGGTAGTAATAGCTTCGAACAGGATGATCCTGTTGTAAAACAGAAGTCGGGAGGTTTCGTGAAACGGGCGTTGAATTTGCGTTAATGAGATATCTGTTTGAACTAAACACGAATTTCATTTACGCCGGAATAGGTATTTAGAGAGGAGTGTGGATAAAAGGAACGGATGCAACAATTTCGCGAAAGTAATTTCCCGAGGCACATTAATCCATTTAATCTTATAATATGTCTATACGTACAATAAGTTTCAGGTACTCTTTGATAATTGGATTATTGCTCGGAATTGTAAGATGTTCGAATTTGTCGCTAGAAAAATCGCGGAGAGTACGAAAGTACAAGGAAGGTGGGCGCAAGCGAGGATGCAACTAAATCTATGGTTCGCCACGGGGTGACGACGTTTTCACGATGGGGGGTCGAGCAGTCCTTATAAAGATGTCGTACCGACGACCCGAAAAACGTTCTTTGCTTCCTTCGATGCCTCCTTTAGGAAAGCAACGGAACGGCAGCGTCCTTCTCGGCATCCCTTTTTCACGTTTGTCACGTGCCTTTTTCCCTCGGCGTCATCTTTCGCAGGCACATTCTCTTCTTCTTCTTCTTCTTTCAAAAATATGGAATCTACTCGTTCGTTTTGTCTCTATCGCTAAGATGCTTCTGTGATAACACTAAGTATCGCTTTTCCTTTGTTTTTACTTTAGCACGTTATTTAGTTATTTATTTATTTAAATTCGTGGGCATGATAAATGAGTATTAGGTCCGATATAATTTCCATATTTTTTAACATAATTTTGACCGTTAATATAATTTCAATTTAAGTATAAGCTAATGCTCATTTAGGTATATTAAATTAAATTTGAATTACATAAAGCTATTAAAAAGAATAATCGGATATTTTTCAAATCGAATAGCATTTAATTTCTTGCAATTCAAAATATGGATGATGGATTTTCTGAAATTGCGCAAAAAGTCAAGCGAGTGACAAAAATTGTTAGACATCACATTAGGTCGTAACGTGTCCCTTGAATTAATATTTCAAATATTTAAATGCTACGAAAGAGCCATACTCTCGTTACACTATTCAGTTCTCTTCATCTTTTTGGCAAAGTCATTTCGGTTTTTCTATAATATTTTTCAATGATTTTCTTTCATAAAGTCGACATTGTCAAATGTTTTGCCTGCTAAAAAATGTTGTAAAGCACGAAACAGTTGGCAATCTAACGGAATATTATTATTTCTTCCACTGTTTATTGTAGCAGACATTGATGTGCATTTCAACATGCACAGTTTTTGCCATTTCTTCTGGCAAAACAATTTGCCTTCCATCTTATTCACCCTTCGAAACCATTTAAATCGCTTATAAAAATTTTCTCGTACCGCCGTAACTAAATTCGATGGCCTGTTTTATGTGGCCCACCCTGTATACACTTATAAGTTACCATTCTTCGACAAGATATCGTTACATCTTTCTAAAACTCCAGGTAATTAATTTTCCGCGGAGGTTATTAAAGCAACAATCAGTGTCACTCGATTCTTCGCAGTTGAACATTTTACGACATTTATCTGTTTAAAAAAAATGTTGGAAGATTTCAATCGCGACGACGTCGGTATTCATTTCCTCTAAGAATCGTACACGTTCTGTGTGTTCTGGTTTTTTTCGACCACCAAGAGTTTTCCCATTGAAAGATGAAATCTTGTACAAGAGATCGTTTTCGAGAAGGCGTCGGCGCTTTTTTTTTCCAGGATTAACGAGCTTCGCTCCGAAAACTACTATACTGCTGTTACGTCTGTAAAGTGGCGTACACATCAAACACGCCGACAAGCATGGTTGGACGCGTCCCCGGACATTAGTCACAGGTAGCCATTGTCTCATTTAGACGATTCAATTGGGCCACGTGAACTATTGTCCGTAACTGGTGTACACTGATGCTATAAACACGATGTTAATTGAAGGTGGACGACGCGATGTAACGACGCAGTTAGTACAGCGAAAAGAACTCTGCCATTAATGCGCCGTTCGTGTTACATTCGTTGCGTCTGAATAGACGGTTTATATCTATAATTAATTTATTACTTTTCACACGAAAGGACTGAAATTAGTAATTTTTTAATTTCGAATTCGTGATAAATAAACGTTACTGTTCTGGCAGAACAATTGCTGTTCGAAGATTTTTTATAAATAATTGAAATCGTTATATTTTTATAAACTGAAATAATAATTCGAGTGAAAATGTAGCGTTGACAAATAGCAGAAATAATTAACGAGTACGATTTATTGCGAAAATAGAAATGATTTATTGGTGATGAGATTTGATGAGAATTCTATTAAGGTAGCGCTAGAATAAAACTTAAAAGTTATTCAGACGTGAAGTTTTCTTAAGAAAAACAATTTTTTTTCCTTCCTCTCTCGTTCCAAACTTAATCCGACGCTTTGTTTCTTTTTTAATTGCACAATGACTTCTATTCTAATTACTGTTAAATGACAATGAAAATCAGGTGATAAGAAAGAAAGGTATTTAAAAAATTTTTCAAATCCTGCATTAAGTTGGTAGTCCAAAATTTGTTTACTTTATCGTAACAACATTGAAAATATCTGTTCCAGATATTTCATGCCAGAAATTTCCCATTGGTTTTAACAAATTGCACATAGAAATAAGGTTCGAAGGTAACGACACGATACGCAGCTGATCTAATATTAATATTATGACCTGGGACTTCCAACCGGCTTTTGTACCTTTTACATTTGTCCATCATGCCTACACAGAATGGGTTACTCGAACTTCCTAATTGGAATTAGAAGCGCGGTTTTAGCCATTTCCTGGAACTGTTCCGCACATAACATCGACCATCCTGCCTGGCAAAGAATGGAATCATAAACGTGAAAGGACACGGCATTCTTCTGCAGGTGGCGAGAATATCGAGCACAGCTTTACTCTCGGCTACTTAATCTTGTTAGCCTACAATAACGGGAAACAATCACCGTGGGCAAAGTTTATCCGATTGGGCCGGGCAGGGTTAACTAACCCTTATTCCGTTTCCAACAGGCCTACCCACTAGCCCACCCTGTGAATCCGTAATTTACACGCGAGCAGTGGGAAAGCCATTAAGGCTACTTAGAATATTCTATCGATCCCTGTAGAGTTTGGAAATGCCGCTTTTCAGCGTTATTGTCCCTCTTATTGTTTCGTTACTTGGAACTCGTGTGTCAGTTATTTGAATAACATTTCTCGGTAACGACGCAATTAGTTTCCAGGTGAACAGAGGCCGATCTCAATACATCCAAAGGGGGAGTACTTTTGGGAGAATGCAATTCCAAAGGGCTGACATACGGTAAATTGAAAGTTCAAGTTTTTCGAGTAAAATGAAATTATTAGTTGTTCCTTTGAATTGGAGATTCTTTGTTCAGATTTTCACAATGAAATTTCCCAAGTGCGAAGGTATTTATTAATATTTATTTAAATTGGATAAGTGGTTAGCTTGAAAGCGAAGAAATTAGATATTTAAATTGATCTACAAGATGTATCAAATCCAAAATAAAAATATATTTCTACAATGACATTGGAATTCTCAAATCCGAAATGCAATTTGTACACATACCTATGAATTTCAACAAAGGAACGGCTGCAAATGATTCATTTCGTAGTGCAATTGAAAACAATAAGAACATCAACAATAGAATATTTCTCTTTCATACCTGCTCTATGAATAATGAAACGCGATTAAATAATTTATCACGCGTACACTAATTGCATTAGTTCGTTAATCCTTTTTCACTAATTGGTCACTTTTATTACCTTCGCAGCTTGCACTCTCTTCACCAAAATAAATCTAACAATTTAATATATTAAAGAAATTTCAATTATGTTTAACATCGAACATTTCACCTAAACAATAATTTTCTGTTGCAACAAAGTTTACCTATCGACGAAATAATCAAAGCAGCAAAAGTATCGGAAAAAAGAAAAAGAGAAGAAAAGAATTTGTTCGTCGATAGAGTAGCGAGGTAATTAGAGAAAGGCATCCATTTCGAAGGTTTCGCGATTCGATTGAAGAATATATTGGCAGCGGCTGGAGTAGCAGCAACAAAGGGCATTCAACCCCTTTTCGATTCGGTATATTCACGCGTGGACGACTAACGCGGTTCCCGTGGAGAGTTTCCCGCTCGAGCGCTATAAGAGGGCGTAGAAACGCGGATATCGCGTTTGGATTTGTTTGTATACGCGGGTTCGCGGCTTCGAGTTTAGTCGCGACTGCGCTCCCCACCATCGGAGCTAGTCCGATCGGCCACCTTCGAAATCCCTGCCCCCGTCGTAACTCCGCACTGTTTGCACTGTTTGCTGTCAAACATTGGCCGCAAAACACCGTGGTGGGGCAAAAGGACGCCGCCGGTGGAAAGCGAGCAGTGGCCGCTTCGATTGGTCCGATCTCTCCCTGCGTGTGCCACCGAGAGCTCGGTGGGCGTGGCCTAGCCGACGGTATATATACGGTACGTGGCAGGGATGACGAAGAATACGCGGCTTTGCTCCGTTGGGGCAACATCGTCACCGAGATACACCCAGATTGTGCTCCACACAAAGAAACAAGGACTAAGTTTTTTCCCACGAAACATCCAGCTTCGTGAACAGTGATTTTTCGTTGTTAAATTGATTTTCTGTGAACCGTCTTATCCTGTGTTCTCGATTCTATCAACCTCGGCGAAGTTTTGTTTTCGCACGTATCGCGATAAAATACATAGAGAGAAGTGCGACGAACATCGACGCGTTTGAAGAATGGTGAATATGGAAGGATCGAGCGAACAGCACACGGTGACAGCCTCGCCGCCGCCGCGGGCTGCTTTAAAGAGCAGCTTCAGCATTCGCAGTATCCTACCGGAAGCCTGTGCCGGAACTCCAGCGCCGACAGTCAGCCGGTCGGCCTCTCCCGAGATCAGTCACGTCGACGATAGCGAGGACTCGAGCGATCTCGACGTGACCGGCGACGGCGGCAACGAGACACCGCCGCTGGACTGTTCCAGAAACGCCGCGAACTCGATGAACTCCTCCGAGCAGAAGGACTCGAAGGATCGGCAGACGGACGAGAAAAAGAAGTGCGAGAAACCACCGTACAGTTACAACGCGTTAATCATGATGGCCATCCGACAAAGTCCGGAGAAAAGGCTCACACTGAACGGCATCTACGAGTACATCATGCGCCATTTTCCTTATTACGAGAACAACAAGCAAGGCTGGCAGAATTCCATCAGGCATAATTTGTCGTTGAACAAGTGTTTCGTTAAAGTTCCTCGCCATTACGACGATCCTGGCAAGGGAAATTACTGGATGCTGGACCCGAGCTCGGAGGACGTTTTCATCGGCGGTACCACCGGTAAACTTCGCCGTAGAACCACAGCAGCATCGAGATCGCGACTCGCCGCGTTCAAAAGAAGCGTCGTCCTTGGCGGACTGTATCCAACGGCATACGCGCCACCTGGTTGGCCAGCATCCCTGTACACGCTTCCGTATCTGCATCGTGCCGCTGGTTATCCACCGGCAACCGGCGCCTACTCCACTCCGGCCGGTTATCCAGCAAGCTTATTGCCCGGCGCGGCGACGAGCTCGGCGAACAGTTTACCCTGCAAACCTCAACCGCTGCCAGCGACCGCTGCACCTCCGGCACACGGGCCCTTCTCCATGGAAAGGTTGCTGCAGCCTCCGACAGCCGCCGGATATCCGAGCGGTATCGCTGCCTCCGGCATTCCAGTCTCCGGCAATCCGTACGACTTTTACTCCACCCTGAGGTCGTTGGCTGCGCATCAACAACACCAGAGCAACGCCGCCGTATTCGCTCACAATCAACAACCAGCCAGGTACCACGTGAATCAGTCTTCAGTTTTGGGACAACCGACCTCAGCCACGGCATCGCCTGGAAGCAGTCCCGAGCCTATGTCACCGCATTCACCACCAGTCACCATTTGCAATTCCGCCGCGGCCGCAGCCGTTGCGATTCAACAGCCGAGATCTCTTCCTCACAGTCCGCCACAGTTGCTGCTCAAACCGATCACCGTACTCACCGGAAGACAAAGTTGAACGAATTCGCTGCTCTAGATTCAGCCATCGATCGGACTGTTGCTATACGGGCAATTAGAACTCGCTGGAAGAATAGTGGCTCGCGGCTGACGAGCCGAAGACGTTGTCGCAAGTTTTTCCTTCTCGTCCCAGTTTATGCGTACGCGGTGATATAATTGTATGTACGTTTTTTTTTCTCTCTCTCTCTCTTCTCTTTCCTCTTCGAGTTCATTTGTACATATTAGATCGTAAGCGTACTATCTAAATAAGCCATATACTGTTCTCTCGACGTTCTAAACGTTACGAGGCGTGTATCCATACCAAAACGCAGATTCTGTCAAATTTGTGATGTCGCGGGGAGTATCGATGCCCTGTCGCGCGATGTGTGATCTCTAAATTGTAGGAGAGTAATATAATATTGTTGTAAATAGGCCCCGTTTATAGGTGATCTTTCGTCGATCGTTCGCCGCGATGCTGTCGAGATATCCGAACGTCTTTTCCATCGACAAATGTGAAAGATTTACGCGAGAATCGATGTAGGCCTCGCGGTTCCTCCGATTCCTCGACTTTGTTGAATGATGTATATAATCGGAAATTGTTAATCGTCAAGTATAGATATGCTCTATGTATATATGTATACAACCGAAGACTGTGAGTACGCGTGAGCAACATGTGTATGATCATCGAAATAAATGTTCAAAACTTTTCTAAAAATTTGCTTTATCTCGAATTCATACCTAACTTAACCTTGTCCCACTGTCAGGCTTCATACATTTCCCTCGTCGATCTGTCGAGCCTTTGCTTTGTAACGAGTCAGACTCGCGGTACAGTTGACAAAAACAGTTATATCAGTGATAAATGTTAACTTCAATTCTGAATATTTAGTTTCTTCAAATTGCGAATTACGTTTAATACAGTAGCGTTTCTTACTTCGCACAGTATTAAAATAACAAGTAGCTTGCAGTAACGAAGATTTCTCTGCTTTCATTTTACAAGATTGAGAATTTTCCAGTTGCAAATAACGTTTATTACGTTGGCTTTTCTTGCATAGTCATTAAAGAAAATCGTAAACCAATATTCCCCGCGAAAGTCGACCACAGTATGACCAAGTTCACACAGTATTAAAATAATAAACAGCTTACAGTAACAAAACTTACCTTCAATTCGAAATTTTGAGTGCTAATTTGACAAGATGGAGAATTTTCAACGTTTAATTCTTACTTCACGCGGTATTAGCACAAAGCTAAAGGGTTAAATCGTTCTCCATTTCTCGCGATCAAATTAGAGTCGATGAAAGAAAATTTTTCCCGCGTACGTCTACATTCTATCTCATTGTTTCTTTCAACCGTTGAATCGCACGAGCAAAAACTCGACACAGTAAATTTCACGAAATGTACGCACCGTAGCTTTATCCGCGTGGATCGTAAAAGTAACAGGCAGAACCCGCCGGCTGTCAAAACATAGCGTGGAATAAAAGTTTCGTTCGGCCAAAGTCAATGGATAATGGGAGACCGATACGAAGTTCGAGCCTCGAAATAGGAAATTGCTTTACTGCTTCAATATAACCATAAACCATATCCCAGCAACCTTCACGAATATCCTCGTCCTTTGGTTTCACTCAACCATTCTAACCTCGAGTCCACCCATTCAACGTACTGTCGATGTCTTTGTCCTTTCTGTTCATTCTACATTCCCTACGTAGATCACTCCCTTCGGTTTCTCCTCTCTGCTCTTCTCGCGAGAAGAAGAAATGTTTGGTTTCAACGTTGACCTTCGACGTCTCTTCTTGTAATCGCGCCATTTATTGTGGCTGTTGCTTAAAATCAACCGATTCGACTTTTAACGTGTACAGTAACAGATAGGAGATTTGCTTGTATTCATAGTTGCCTACGCCAGCTAAAATTGCGAATAATAAACAATTCCGCGGTACTGTCGATATTTCGTTCATCTGTGCTCTCTTTAACCCTTTCACGACGAGTGGAACGCGTATGTGGACTAAGTTATATGTTCTTCGTTTCGAGGTATTTAGAATTATTCCTCTGGGTGTATTAAATTATACTTCTTCATTGTGCAATAAAATATTTCACAAAATACTTGAGGGCATAATGCAATTTTTTTTTTATGGAAAGATGGACGCAACACAAAATAAGTGATAATTTCAATTTTCTTTAGATTTTCGGTTGAGTATTCAAATAGAAATTAATCTCAATTTAGTGTCTATCCATTATAGAAGCGACGATCGGTACGGAAAAATAATTTGCGCACGAAAGGGTTACATTTTCGGATATTCTTTTTCTTTTTATTTATCTCTGAATCGAACCTTAATTCAGTTCATTTGCACACAAATTTCTTTCTTTTTCCTGCAAATAGTAACAATTTTCCAGTCTAATGTTAATTTGCGCTCGTTGTTGCAACAGCGTTCGCTACTTTAATTTCATAAATATTAGAAAATATTCTTCAGTATTGAAATGCTGTTAAATGTAAATGAATAAACAAATTATAACAACTCAGGAAGTGCATAATACGCCAGGTGTCGCCGAGATACCCTAAAGAAATAATAAATAGAAATTATGAAATTGAAATTAAACGTCAGAGTAGGCATAGCGACAACAAGTAAAATTCATGATTTCCGTTCGAAGGGTTAATGATTCTTTTCTCCGTGAAACAACGAACAGATCAACGTATCGTCGCGCGATCACGTCGAATTTCGCGTGTTTCAGCAGAAGACACTTTCCAAAGGGATAATTCACACGGTAAAAAATGGAGAAGATTAGGATCCATAGAGAAGCGTCGCTGGAGTTGAATGTAATATATTTCTCCCTTCTGGTATATTTAGGTATAACAATAAGGAAAATATTGGGTCATCCTTTTCTAATTTAGATCAATATTCCCAACGAACCTTCAAATTTGATAAAAAAGAACAAATGAGCGTCGCAACTTTTTTCTATTTCTTTTTAAGATCGTTATATCGCCGCTATAGAATTTTCTTGGATTTTCATTACAAAATTTTTCCCTTTCGCCACGATCTCATTAGGACAAAGGCATCTCGATAATTTCTACAATCTGAGATTCGTCATTTCGTCGGGTTTTGTTATTCCAATGTTTATTTATCAAAAATGGTACAAGTGAAAAATCTAGAAAAATTTCTAAAATTGTCGCAACAAACGTCACTGTACTCTAGGACAAAAGCACCGTAATAATTTCTCTACCTACCCGAGATTCGTCATTTTGTCGGGATTCGTTGTTCTAGCGTTAAATTGAACTCTAGGCGGGTTACTTTTACGCGGATACAATTCAGGAGAGTGTTGTTTCTCGGTATGAGCGGCCGCTCGATATTGCTATGATACATTGAGAAAATGAGGCGTAAATAAGATAATAGCGTACGCTCGCGTACGTCCAACGGGGGGGCTTAAGCATTTGAAGGGTCGAGAAACATAGGAGAAAGAGACAGCCGACCGATTAGGATCTGCAGATGAGATTGTGACCCGCGCGGTCACTCTACTGAAAGACGTGTTTCGCATTCTTTCTGCCTCTAAACGTCTCCGACGCTTTGCACCGACTCTTCGAAATTATCGATGCATCTTCCTCCACGGCAAAAATCATATTTGTCCAATTGCACACCGAGGCTTGTCACATTTCACCAAGAGTGAAGAACATAGTAATAATGCTTTGTATCGTGAACATCGGTGATTGCAGTTTTGGAAATGCGACTCGATCGAAACTGTGACACTATTAAGTCTATGCAAAATGTTTCCATCGTATTTTTCTGGAGAATGTGTACTTACTTTTTGTTATATTTACAATTAGTTGTCGTAAGAATACTGATAATATAATAAACACTATATTCGGTATAAAGACCAACAGCGAAAGTTTAAATAAGAAAAGAAATATTTAGCGCCATCGATTTACCTACAAGCGATGGAAACTAATATTTTATATTTATTTTATATCCAATAAGCATGCTTTCCTATCTTCTGTGCCGTATATTTTTCATTTCGTGCCAAGTAGGCCTGTTTAATACATTCGAGACCGATGACTCGGCATATGGATCATGCGATATTTACAGTTTCGCAAAATTGATAATTTCGTATTTACAATCTATAAATTGATAGATTTAAATATAATTAAATACAATCTAAATTCGTTAATTTCGCGCCAGATTTGTAAAGCAAAGTGCGCAGAAATTAAAATTGCCGTTGATTTTTAAATTAAGTTAAAAATGAATACTCCACAATCGGGACCTCGAATATTTCAAAATACAAATAGAGATGAAGAGAGTGAAGATTTTTTAATTTTGTAACACTACGTCGGTCTCGAGTGTGTTAAGTATTCCGTTAAGTTATCAAGATAAGATATCACAATAGAATAGTACCTAAATGAAACTGTCAGATCGTTCCTTCCAACTATTTCACGAATTCCTGTCGTATCTGTTAGACTTCACGTTTCAAACCACTTTATTCGGAAACAGAGCTCTTAGTACAGTTTACACGATACACTTATAATTTCTTTTGTCATACTTCAAAACACCCACACCGCTTGCAATAGAGAAACAACGCAACTGTAGAGAGAAAAAGATGGCGCGATTGAAATGTAACGAAGAATTGAAAACGCCGTACGCGGTGAATTTGAAATCACAGTATCAACGCGTTAACTATCAAAAAATGGTACGCTACTTGAAAATCTCGAATGAACACGCGCAACGGTGTACAGTTGAGCGTGTTCGTTTAAATTGAACTAAATAGATCTGTATAGTAATATCGAAGCTGGTATTACCGAGATTCAGGTATTCGATTTATCGAAATACGCGTGGTCGTAGATCGCAAATCCTGCCCGTAATTACAAGAATATATTAGCGTGCTGCCATTGCGCATTATCGGTGATCCGATAACAGTTGACAGCGACATATAAAGCAAGACTAAATGAATGTTGCATAGCATCACGTAGTCGAAGGGGACGGTAAACACTTGCGTGGTCAATTGCTTCAAGTGGTGAGTGCTCTATGCGCGTGTTACTTATCCGTGTACACGA